GGTGGTATGTGTGTGTATTTGTGTATGTGTATAAGCATATATGTGTGTGAAGAGGACCTGAGAGAAGAAAGAGTGTAGAATGGAGGATTTGTCGCCTAGGTTGCATTCCCCGGAGCCATTGCATGGGTGCTCGAAGACCAGCCTCCCTACAAACCGCAGTGCTCTGCCAATGGAGCCCAATAAATACTTTATATGGTGCATAATGTAGGATGCGAGGCCTCAGGGAGTGGAAGAGGAGTCCTGTGGGGTACATCTGCCTTGAATTCCTAACGACACTCACGCTATCATTACCAGCGGCGGTAAAAGGAGGGGAGGGAGGAGGGGAAAAAAGAAACAAAAGGAGAGTCGGGTGGCAAGCAGGTCTCCTAACAATCGGTAACCACCTCCGTAAAGACACTGGGCTGGCTGCAAGGGGCATTGCCCTCTTCAAGCTCTCTTCAAAATCCCATGCTGGGTCTTAAGCATGAAGTCATGTCAGCGTGGTAAGAACTAGGCTACAAAGTGCTAGCTGATTAGTCAGGCTACACTTTACTGAAACAGGACCCCCTTCAGCTTCCCCCAAAAGGGTTCTTCCAATGTCAGCAGGGGTACAGCTCAGTACAGTTAGGGACACATTTTGTAAAGTGAAGGGAGTATTTGTGCAGTATGGGCAGCATAGTCGTGGATAATGGACTCTTATCGTGGTGGTCTCCAGAGTCTCGCAAGGGTCTGGCTGTTGTACCCTTGACGAGATGCCAGATATGCTGCTTTGGGTGAAAGATGCAGCAGAGACAAATGACAAAGTACTATAAAAAAAAAAAACAGAAGTGCTGGAATGACAGTGCTGGAGAGCAAGAATTTGCTGGAAACGACAATTACACTCCAATCACTGCCAGGAGCCTTTTATTATGACAGCCTTACTGCACGTTTCCACACTGCTGACCCTTTGCAAAATAGCCTGCTTTGTGCCGTAAGCTAACACACACACGTGATATACTTAGAGCAAATTTTGGGCTGACCAAGCAAAATAAAAAATTTTAAGGAAATACGTGCCAAGTTAATTGAATTCTTAAAGCGCTGTAGCTGGTTGCAGTGCAGTGTCCATACCACACATATATATTTGCACGTACATATGCATTTTCATGGACATTCCACAAACGGTCTGGAAATGGGGGTGGAATGAGTGAGCAGCAGCACCCAAACCTTTCAGCCGGACCCTCTCTTTGATCAAAGCTCCTCATCGTCAAAAGAACAACGCAAACTCAGGCTCGTGATTAAAGCAAAAAGATTATATATAAGAATAGCCTCAGTCACCATCTCCCCTTGTACATGAGGTGCTGATGGGTACGGCACCCAGTTAAGATAGGCACGTATGCTCCTGACACATACAATTTCTTCGTTCATTATTCATTTGTTTGCAGAAATTGCAGTGTGATGGCTGTGCTGGGTTTTTGGGGCTGGCTGGGTGGGGGGGTGGGTCTGCTTTGTTTATGCTAGGCTAGCGTGTAGAGAAACAGCGAAAGGCAGTTATTTAAAGGTCAGCCCACAGAGGAATCAAATAACAGGCCCCCAAACCCACAGAGAGACTCAGAGGTTTTTTTGAGGACAAAACCAGAATAGGTGTTTCTCAAGGGAATACCCTTTTAATGCAGTGATCCCATCCGACCCGGTTAGCAAGAAGGAGTCGACCATATCCGATTTATGGTAAGAACAGGATGACATTAATTTTCAGACTATGGCGTATGGCTAGGAATCTCACTATGAATATGTTTACACCACCACAAAGGACAGAAAGCTCAGTCAGTTGCAGGTCTTATTATTTCTGCTTGTGAGACTTTTTTTGCCTTTTGTCCTTCAACTGGAAGCCTGAGGAGCAAAGCCAGAAGTGTCCTGGGGAGAAGCGCCCTGGGAAAAGCAAGCAGAGACAAGCAGCGAGCCCGATGGAGCGAACCACGCCGAACCCCACTGGAGGGACATCTGGCAGGGCTCTCCTTCAGGGAGTGCACACGGTGCCACGGCCAAGGGGTGACTGCATGGAAAGATGGAGGCCAGAGCTTTACGCCCACGGGCAGAAACCCTGCAGAGATGCGAGCCCTGGTACAGGACTGTCAGGACGCCAAGTGGGCAGCGGCATCAGTAGGACCACCCATAGAAAATGCCGTCCTGGCAGCTTTGCGGTGGCCATTTTGGATGCGGGCTCCTCAAAAGAGAAACGTCACAGGAATACACGTCATGAGTGCTGCAATGAAGACCCTGCAAGATGGGTATTTTAATGGCAAACGGTACGGCAGGCTGACTGAGAACATCTTGTGCCTGTCCTCCACGAGTGCTTTATCTCTGCTGGTGTGATGCTGATGTCTACAATAAAATTTGATCCCACGGCATCCTTCAGGCTGGTGGGGTGACAGCGATCTGGATCCCTCACCTAGCCCCCCCCCTCCCCCCGGCCCAGACTGTCTCACGGGAACCTCCGGTGGGAACATCCTGCAGCTTCTCCGGGGCAACTTGCCCTCCCACGGTCCCACATTAGCTCGATCGATAGCGCCGACTGCACCAAGGGATGCAGGATAATCCATAGGCCTGTGCTCTTGCTGCAGTGCAGTGGCAAGGACTGGACTAGATGGAAAAGATGTTACCCTTGACAGAGTGGGCGGAACCACTGCAGCCATCGATTGCCAGGGAGGGAGACGTGTAAGTTCGCCCGGATACAACCAGCACCAGCTTTCTAGGCCTGTCTGATGACTGTATTTTTATTTTTATGACTGGGAAGTCGGAGGGGGGCCATGATGCCCAGACCTTCTCAGGATGCCTTCCCCTTCCAAAATGTAAATATTCACTGCAGTGAGCCATACCCACAACCTGGAAACAACTGGGAGGTCAGGACGCTCGTTTCAACTTTTCTATGCAAAACTGAAGGAATTAGTAACAAGGACCATGCACTGATGAAATCCCAGAATCCCCATATTTTAAGCAGTGTTCACTAAAATATACATTATAAAACACTGCAAGTTAAATCAGACACCTTTGGTTCGCGTACATTTCCCAGGCAGGTGTTAAATCTGGCTGTGAAATTACTTGAACTAAAAACCCATCTGTAACACACCATGTTGATTTATACGACACTGAATCATTTAAATTAGACTTTGCTTACCAGTCGTGAGCCAGGGCACCATCACCAGCACGGCATCAAAAATGACAAATAATAATGAGTCCTAAAATACTTCAATTCTTATTGAAAATGCTAATGAACTTGGGGGGAGGGGAAGGGGGTGGTTGTCATAGTATGTCCATTTAAGTTTCTTTGTTTCATCACACAGGGTCTGATTTGCCGACATGGGTAATTTTGGAGTGCACTCAGGACAAGAATGTGTGGCTGACATTACAATAGCAGTGTGGAGAAAGTGTGAAGCCCTTGGCATGGTTAATCAGCCCCCCACCAATAAAACTCAAGGCACAACTGGCATAAATAATACACGGTGTTAGCACCGAGCTGGCCTTGGGCAGCACCCTGCTTTATGACTAAAAGATCAGGAAGTGCACTGTGTGTGGATGTACCGCTCCTGTATAAGGAGCAAAATGCACAACGAACAAGGTGAGGAACTGGACACGTTTTCACATATTCACTACAGCTGGAAGGAAAATGTCACGCTTATTGGAAGATGTGTAGTAGGTAAAATCCTTTCTTTTCCAGATTGGAAACAAATTGGAAAAAAGACTGACAGTATTTTCCACCAGGCCCGAGACCATGGTAAAATTCACAATAAATTAGTGTACTGTCTTGCAAATATTATTCTGTCCCTTTTTTATTTTTTATAAGATGTGCTTTAGCTTAGCATATGGATGCTGCATATTTGTGTTCTTTGTACCTGTGATTGTCACAGATTCCCAGGTATTTAAGAAAGTGCTGAAAAGCACATCCTCATAACTTTAGGAAACCCACACAGGGAGATTTTATTTTCTTATGAACAAAGATACTGTCACAGCATGGAGGGATTTAAGTTCCCGTATTTATTAATGTGTTTTTTATCTGAATCTGCAAGTCAAAGGTCAATTTGCAAACACGTTACTGCTTCTGAAGGGGAAATGATTTAAAAAGGAGAAAAATAAAACAGATTTGATGATATTTGTGTGCTGCAGATTATACATTCAACAGATAGGACTTGTGATAGATGTGAGCAGTATGCTAAAGACAAGCTATTTTTACACAAACATAAGCTATGTAGTCTTCATATTTTGGAGATTCCAAAGCAGTTCCGGATAAACGGTAGATATGCCTCCCTTGGCATTGTGTCAGTATTTAAAACAGCCAGAATTTGCCCGATTGCTCTTAATATTTAAGTGTTCTCCTCTGGAGAATGCAGAAGAAAAGTTGCTTTTTTCCTTTCTTTTTCTCAAAGAATAAAAGAGTGGTCCTGCCAACCAAGCCTCAAGATAACCGTTTGTGGTTCTGGCCAAACCAAGTGCTGAAAAGAGAGGAGAGCCCCTGATTCCTGATAACCGTCAACCGACATCTGAAATAGCTACAGTCTCTTAACCTGCATTTCTGTTTTTTGCTGCTAGCATCAGGCACACCAGTGTGTTCCTTGGCAATGATCCTCTGTTTAAGAAACCCAGGAGAAAAATTTATGACTGCAATGTTTGTTCTTCCAGAGAACACCAGGCTCCCGGAAACAAAGGTGCTGTCGTAGATGAGGGCGATTTTATTGGGGTTTGCTTTGGTGCCGCCCCTGATTTTATATAATGGGGGGAGTTTAGAAGTCCCATGTCAACCTTTGATACATGAGCGAAACACCTATTTAACGTGCTGCATATCCCTGCTTCTAAGAAAAATCTTTTTCTCTTAATAGTTGGCTCCAAATCAAATGGAGAGATAAAATCACCTGTGGTCATACCTGAGATGTAGAAAAACAGCAACGCTTATTAATTGGTGGGCGACATGCGTGAAATCCATCAGGGAGAGGCGTGGGGCGACGGGGAGCGGCGGGAGCGGCGGAAGCAGCGCGGTGTTAAGCATTGTTTACCTGTCAGCTGACATTGATTAATCTTGTGTTCGGTGAGATCGCTCAGCGACTCGAACACCTGCAGGCAGCCGTCGCAGCTGTGCAGCGCCTCCTCCTCTTCCTCCTCCCCCTCTTCCCCCTCCTCCGGAGGTGCCGGCCGGCTCTTCAGCTCGCTGTCCGTCCCATCTTCTACCGGCTTTCCTAGTTCACCATTCGGGTCTGTGGGGGCAGGGGGAGAGTGGAAGAGACATCAGGGCAGGATAAGGCATCCTCGAGGATAAGTAAGACTGGGAGGACAGCAGGAGGCAGGGCCGCGAAGATAGGCATGGGTGTTTCTAGTCTTTGTAAGCAAGGCCTGGTGTAGACACCTTACTTTATATTGCCGAAGCCTGGAAGAAGAGTGACACATCCCCAAAACTACAAATTAGATCGCGGATCCATTTTTGTTTCAGCACATAAGAAGACGTGTGAAAGCACCTTTAAAACTAGGTCACTTGAGCATTTTGCCGTTAGCTAATTTGTGGAACAACAGGCTGATTTGAAAAATTGCATCTTCCAGGATCATTTTTTATTTCTCGCAAAGTGCAAAAAAGATTCCCTTTGCGACACATGCTAATATCAAAAGGGACATCTTGGGATATTACTGTCATATTTTCGTACACCATAGCATTGAATACAGATTACAAACAGAATCATTGAACACTGCAAAACTCTGAAATAATACCACTGTCTCTCCCTGTACTTCAGAACATGAACATACATGGAGTGATCATGTCAAACAGCATGAAGGTTACTGTTAAGGGTGTCTTGATACTGTTGTTGTTTGGCTCGATGAACCAAGTGCATTTCATCAACTGCCACACAAATGCACCCTCCACCAAATCCCACAACCAATCTTGCTGAAAAGACCTGGGGAAACTAGAGCCACACAGCACAGGCTTCCCTGACTGTGCTATGGCTTTTAATAAAGACATTTGGCAACAAACTGTAGAGAGAAAAAACAGCAGCACATGGATCCAAATTTCCCCCATTTTTTCCCCACCTCAGAAATGCTTTAGATAAAACACTTGATGGTTTCCTGAATAATTCATCGGCACACGAGGGCAGCTGCGGGTCGCACACATCGATACGCCTCACTTTTTCTTTAATTTCGTTTCTTGCAGAGGGCACACAATTTGTCTGAGTGGCTGGATAATGCAATGGAAGAGTTACGATTGCTGGCAGGTGAAGAGGCTCTTCTCCACACAACATTAAGCGAATATTGCCTAACATTAATAACTGGCATTGTGTTTTCAAGCAAAGCCATATTTGTTGTGGTCTGTATGTGTGTGTATGCGTGTCTGTGTGTGTGTATGTGTGCTGTACAAGTTTCCCCTGAAGGGACGCAGTTCTGTAAGTCGTCAGGGCCACCCAGGACTTCAGCACCAGCAAAGTATCGATGTACCATCACACCCACCATTGTCCTTAACTCAAGGCGATGGAAAGTTCTGGAAGATGCTTTATAAAAATACCAGCACCGCAGTTCCGCTGAGATGAGGCATAACAAAACAGAGTGTGTTTACAGAACATAATGCTCCCCACGCAAGCCCTGCAGCTGTACACTCCATGTTCCTTCAAACTCCACACCATCTATCGGGATCAGTCACGTCCAATAGGTATTAATCAGTCAAACAAAAGAAGACCTTTTCATAGAAGCGCGCAAAAATATTTTCCCAAATGTTCTCCCCAAAGAGAAATCGATGGTTATCGGATCTCAGGACACCGGATTCACGCCGACCAGTTATGAAAGGCACACATGTTCCGTAGACTTTATTATGGATGATGGGGTAATCAAGCTGATGTCCTTACAGCTCTTCCCTGCCCACAGCATTCCGAGTGTTAAAGTGTCTAAGATGCTCTCCTGGAACACCGGCTGGATTCTATGGCCCCAATGGGGGCTCAGTATGGCTGGACGTGTAACAAAACTGGCTTGGTTCTTTTGAGAAACGTAGGGATTCAAACTTTGTTAGAGATTGCCTTGGCTGACAGCAAAAGGCTCACTTTTGAGGACTGTGAGTTGCCTTACTTGTCCAATCAAGTGCTTACCTATCATGTACCTATTTCAGTGTATTAATGTATGTTACATTACAGTTGGATTTAAATAGCTAATTGGAATGATTTCTGAAACCTGTACGGAAAGTTCTTGCTTAATTCTGCAATGGTCAGTCATAATTCGGTTGGATTCCGTGGGTAGAATCACGAAGGCAGATGCCTGCTAGCAGCTTGCCTCATTCGCAGGTTTTTGTAGCACAGCTAACGTGTTCATGGTGGCGGTACAGCACCTTCAGTGGAGCCTTCAGTTGCTTAACCCCAGATGACAGAGAGCAGGATGCACGTACGCAGACCTGGCTGTCATAGCGTGTCATGTCACCGGCACAAGCCTGTAAAGAATGCTTCAGGCTGCTGTTATCGGCTGTCATGTAGCGATTACGCAGGTGTTGTGTAGGCTCTGCTTCGACTTCATAAAGACGCATCAAAATACGTTGTCACTGTCACACTTTTGTGCCGGTGGACCTAAAGAAAAGTTGGCTGGCACCTTGTCAGTGTGGTATCACAGCACTGTGTTGGGAACACGCTAAAACTGTCACAGGAATCTGGTTTTCATGCAGCCGGGGAAGCTAGAGCGCGGCTTGAGCAGGGCTCAGGCGATTCAGATACTCTCCATCACTCAGATTTCTCTGTTGTTTTTGGCAGAGCGCAAAGAAATCTAGATAGAAAAAAACAGTACAAATGTAAAAACCACCTTTTTGATTGTGGGCCAATATAATGGTCTGACGAATACAACATGTTATAAACATTACATCATTCGGTATGGGGAAAAAAATCCCTCCTTGGTACAAGCATTTACAGCCCCTTTGTACTTAATCTAAACTCACGATTGGCTGACAAACAGCAAATTGGTTTGATGCTAACAATCCTTTTACTTCTGCTGGCTGTGTGTTAGCCACTGACTTGGTGCGTCAGATTTTATGCATGTGAGATTTTTCTAGCTTCATCACAATTGAGGAACCGTTTGGCAGACCAATTATTCAGAGCTGATAAGCAACATTGATGACGGCATTAACTGCCATGGCGATGGCCGACATGACGAAGCGAGCCGCCCATTCTGCTCTTCTCAGGTGCAGAGTGACATTTATCATAAGGTAGCCTTCATCTTGCGGAGTGAGTAGCATCCACTCAACGCCTGCTGCTCCCCGACATCTTATTGAATATTTCTGCTCTTTAATATTTATAGTTTTTTAATTGATGTCCTTTTTCAGCTTCTTTCCTCCCAAAGGTCCCGGCCTCCCCAATAGAGTGATCTCTCCATCACCCCATGGGGTCTCCCGCTGAGAGAGGAGGTGCTGCGCTAGCCACGGGCCCCCCTACAGCTACAGCCTGCCAGTCCCCGCCATCCACCCCACCCCCACCCCCCACCACCACTCATTGCCCTGACCCCAGAGAGACACTCTGTTCCTCAGTGGCGGCTCACATGAAAATTAGAGAAGAAAAGGAGCTCTGCTCTGCTCAAGTATGGAGCAGCAATGCACAGCCCAGTATGATCTTGCTGTTGTTCCTTTTCCAGCAATACATCAAGTCCCTCCCCTTAACCATAATTAAGTTTACTGTTTTAATAGCTTTTCAAATGCAGAATGTTTTGATCACTTTACACTTTGGTGTCTAATTGAAATTCACCTAAAAGAGTGAGCTAGGGCAGCAAGAACCCTAATATCCTTCGGCACAAAAATTTGAAGCAGATTAAACTCCCACTTCGTTCTGTGAAAAAAAAGCTTTTTATTTTCTTTTCCCATGGACCATGTGTGGACGTATGGTTGCATCCATTTATTTTTTGTTATTAACAGTCTAGTATTTTGTGCAAGAAGCATCACTTTTATCTAAGGTCTATAATCACAATGGTGGTATCTGTGTTAGCATCAGTAGTTTGGAAATGTGGCTGTCAGATGATGCATGCACCCTTAGAGTAGACAGCTACTCGGGGGGACTACAATGACAAATAGCTAACAAAACTACCTTGACATACTCGGAATCTACGCCTGGATGAAACCCATCAAAACTTGAAATGATAACTACAGCAATATATAAATGAACTGAATGAAAATGAGCAGCATTATTTTGGTTATAAGAAGCTAACTCGCTAGCTGCACTGACCAACATTCTTTGGGTTATAAGAAGTTAACTTGCCAGCTGTCCTGTGGTCTAGTTATGGGTCCAGGGGCTATGTTATGGGAAAAAGGTCAATATCACATAGACAAGCAGCTGTGATACCTTAATAATGAACAAACACAAGGCAGGAATATCGTCGTCTTCTAACATATAAATGGAACAGTAAGCGAGTTGGCTCCACGCAGCCACTTGCCAGAAGGTGTGTCCTACGGTGTCAGCTGGGGTTTGCTCTGGGCTGTGACCTCACTAAATGTTTGGGAAGGAGTCCGATTGGGCCCCTCCTGCTCGTCGATCCACAGCCATGTGTACAGTCAGCTGAGCGCATACATGACTGTGGGTGAAACTGAGATGATAGCACCCTCCTTAAAGCATAGCCCATCAAGAAAAGACATGCAGGTGGCTGACAAATGCAGGAGTCTTTAGCAAGGGTTTTGTGAGTTCAGAGGCAGACTTATGATTGAGCTAAATCTGCCCGTTTCAGACATGTAAATGGTACAACAAAAGCACAGTGACAACACTATCCAATAATCCCTCCTCCTTCTCTAAAGATAACACCACCATTCCTACTAGAGAAGAGACCAGAAACATACTAAAATATACAGATGCCCTACCTATATGGGCTATGTACAGAAGACAGAAAGACATCAGGGATAACATGTAAATTCATTAGGTGAAGTTTTCTGATACAAATGTCAGTGCTGCATAGGGAAATACGAGTTTCAAAGACCAAGAAACACATCCAACCAAAACAGTTTCAGGCCTGTTTATTTGTTAATTTGGTTAGAAGATTATGTAAAATTACTTACATTTCCTTCAATCTTCTACCTAAATTTTAAAAACCATTTTTAACCAAAGGAAATTAAAAATTTACTGAATAATTATGCTTCTCTGAGCCCTCATCAGTTACTTTATGTACTCCCAGCTATTCTTCATCAAAGCTGGGATACATCATCTTTTGCAAGTCATGTCCAAAAATTACAGCTTTGTGTGATCAGAATAATAAGGATTTTATCATCCCTAGAAAAAAAGCTGCTTCTCTCCAGCCACATCTCAGTGAACAAGTTTAAAAACTCAAGCACATCGTCCACGGAATGACCATCCTTAAGGCATTTCGATTTTTATCACACTGGATCGTACAACAGTCAACACAACCTGGGTGGAGCGAAGCGTAATCTAAATAAATCTGGACTGGGGTTCAATTATAAATATGGTGTATGGAGACATCTGTCTGAACTCCTTGCCAGTGTGCTCTTCACTGATATCCCATCCAAAATATATACAATTAATCAGCTTCTAGAGTTTCCATCCTGCTCGATGATATTAAATTTGTACGAAATTTGTAGTGCATGTGAACGAGTGGGAGAAGAAGCAAATGAAAGATGCTTAGTACTCTGTATTAAATGGAATATGAATGCAGGGGTTTGATGGAGAGGTTGAGTGAGCAATGCCGTATTCATTTACGTTGTTTACAGGGATGCGGTGATGCCCATGCTGTAGTAGTCTGTCCATAGCAGTGTTTTTATAGTATGAAAATACCACATGCAATAAATAGTTCAATTACACAATGACAATCCCATATTGATTTTAGAAGTATGCGGCCAGAACAAAAGCATTACCTAAGTTTGGTGAAGGCAGAATGTAGTAGCCCAAGACTGCTTTACGAACACAAGGAAAAAGAGATAATAATCAGTTCCAGGTGGTGATGACGCCCCCACTATGCCCCCACCCTCACAGTAGGAAAATATTCCAATGCCATTCCAGCAGTCAAAGGCTCGGGAAAATGAGAAAATTTTCAATGGGTGGGAACTAAGACACCCAGCACCCTTTTTCCCATAATCCTTAGATACGACTGAGCTCACCACTCCAGCAGTATTACTTGATTTTTTAACAACAGTGTCGTTTTAGTGGATCTGACGTTCCTTGCTGAAGGAAAGCTGAAATCTGACACTACGAGGATTTCAAGAAAAAGGTTCATATGGTTATAATTATATACAGAGCTCTGCGAGGCAAAAGATCGAGTGATCTCACAGCTACGCTGCTATACTCACCACAGAGAAAAAACACACACACACACGGTCTCATTAGACGTCTGCAGTGACAAGAATCCCACTGCATCCAACCTTGATTCTGCACGCATCTTTCTTAGCATAACCGATATAACCTTTGTTCTGTTATTCTGCGAAGCATCAAACTCAAGACACGCATGTGTACAAAACGTGCAAAAAAGATCAAAACGGGCACGTACACCTGGAGGCCAATTTATCGACGTGCTCTCGCACCGTACGTCGTTAGACAATGGAGGCGAGGCAGATACAAGTTGTTTTTTAGAGTCATGGCAAGTTTGGAGACTGCGCTGAGTAAACAAGGAAGGCACGGACTCGGATCACAATGCACTTTGATCTTGACGCCCATTGGAATACTTCCAGCACAGTTCTGAAAAACCCAACAATGACAAAATAGTCAAAGACAGCACACATGACACCTATCAGACCAGGTGACATGTACAGAAGCCTCAATGTAGATGCTGAATCTTTAAAAATTAGATTATTACAAGAAAAGGAAAAGAAACACATTTTAAAACGTCATTTTGACAATGAATTAAAATTGTCAGTACTGCACTTGTCCCTGGTAAGAAGTCTCCCAGTAATGAAAGAAAAGGCCAACAGGTGACGAGGTGACACTTAGGCAGAAAATGACATCAGTGTACTCATCTCATGGTGCCATTACATGCCTTCCAGCAGAAATGCAAGGTTCACAGCCAGCATTCTGCCCTCACCAAATGACGACATGGCCTCACCTTGGTCAGCTGCAATTCTTTAAATAGCACAAGTGTTTGTTCCTGTTTATTCTACATGGCATACATGCACTTGAAAATTATAGTCTGTGCATGAATGCTCTGAAATGGTGGCTCCATTTCACCCCCCTCAATCAGTTCTTGTGGGCTTATGGGGAATACTTGAGACAACCCCACACCTGTGTCCTAATATACTGTAAACAAGTATGCACCTTGATCTATTTTTCATCTAACAGCATGTTTTTTTCCCTTTTTTTTGGTGAGGTGTACAGGGAGAATGAGGAGGGAACAGAGGTGCACCAGGGCAAATTAATTCAACTTTTGTTTTTGTACAAATGAAAACATCAACATTTATGTCTAACTAGCCTCTGAATTCTTGTTTGATTTGCTCCTTGAAACTTGTGAATTTAATATAACAGCAAGACATTAATATTTCATTCTATTCATTGTTAACTGTGAATCTCTGCTTTGCAATGCAGAACAATGCACAAATGCAATGTTATTTGATTATATGTGACTGCAATTAAACTTGAGGTGACTGTGATTATATTGGAAAGAAATTATTTACACTTTTCATAAACAAAATGCACTAAATAATTTCAAAGAAAAACTCATTTCAAACATTAAGAAGCCAGAAGTTTGGCCTATGAAGTTAGTAATTCAGTTTTCCACATACAGGGATACATTAAGGTCCTGAACAACGCAACATGAAAGCTGAAGGAATAATTGCGGAGTGGACTAAGGAGTTTTTTGTATTTTTAAGTGTATCCTCTATTTTAGAAAACTCTTATTCAAATCAACATAGTCGACATCTTGAACAGCACTACAGGAAAACTGGATCACTCTTCAGAAAACTGATAAGACCTAGGCAAATGAGCAAAATAGGGACATTTATAGGAATACATAAGAAATAGCAATATAGGAATATATGCAGGGCAAGAATTTAAGGACCTAAAAAACCTATTAAACCTCAAATCGTGTCAAATTCCTAGAATCACACTCCTAAAGTGACAGGTGTAAATCCAAACAGCACATTTGATTCACCAGTCAATGGCATTCTGAAAGGAAACGCATTGCGTTGGCTCTTAAGAGGGATCAGAAAGTGTTGGTAGTGTGCTGAAGAGGGGCATTGCCAGAAGGGCCCCTCGGATGAGCCAGGGGGGATGGAGGGTGTATAATGCATTGCATCTCTCAGTTGACAGGGCTCTTGCAGGTCGGGACATAAAGTCTGGACCTGACAGGGCAATTGTCATCAGTCCCACCCGTTAGCAACAGTTTGCAAGGTGACAGGCATGGGAGGGGGCTAGTCAGGGTTCATCAGTGAGTGCTTAAGCTCCCTGGTAGGTACAGCAGCAGAGGAAGGGTGTCAGACAGATCCAAAAAAATCCATAAGGCGCAGATGATGGGCGTTTGGACTACTGACTGTTCCCTTGGACAATTCCCTCTACAAAGCTTATCAATACTTTATCACCCATCTTCGGAGCACCTAGGGCCCCTGACAGTTGGACAAAGTAATCCATATTAGGTTTAAAATAACTACACACAACATCTAACCTTTCCTGGAAAAGACAGAGAGGGATAGATCTGTACTAAGGCCACGATTCATTCATAATGGCCATCTGAAAGCCTGACCTGGATTTCATCTCTCCTCCTGCAGGCCATCGTGAGCACCAGGCTGAGATGGAGGGGAGGGGCTCATCTGACTGGCACACTCCACTATCCCAGAGTGCAACAGGCTGTGTGGCTCTATGGCTGATAGGCATGACTATTGGCCAATCTTAAGCTGAGCTTTGAGGTTTGATGTTACTCTAAAAAAAAAAGCTTAACCTTTCCTCAAAACCACATATCCTTCATTCCCAAGTGTCTTTGTGGGTAACAGGAAAAGAAGGCACCGCTTGGCCAGTTCAGCATTAAAACTAGGAAATGGGACATTACCGCTCTGAGCACCAGACCGTCCCGCTGCAGAGGGCTGCTCCTCCGTTTCATTTTCCTCTACTGCCATGAAAAGGGAGAAAAAGAGAAAGAAAGAAAGAAAAATCGCTGTTAGAAAAGGAGACAAAACTGACCCACTCAACACACCCAAGGGGTCTGACTGACAAATCTACCCAACAAATTCAAGCTCCTATGGACTAAGGAAAAAAGGTACTAAAGTGGACCTTTATTTTGAAAAGCCCTCTAACTATATATCAGAGCTGATCAGGCAGCTCCCGTAATTACATTTTGGTGTACAAAGGTGTCATGTCTGGATGCTCTTTGGGGCTGAATATGTTTGGACTCCTGATATATCTGAAGTGCCCTGGTGACACACCACTAAGCGCTCATGCCATGGTGACAGTTTAAACATGTGTCAATAATCACAGACACTGCATCATATATCATTTCCTTCTGAGCTGCCTTGTTGCAGTCCCTCCCCCATTGTCCCCAGGTCTTTCACGCCTCTGTGGACACAAAAAAAGCTACCCCAAGAAATCCATCATCATGTCATCAGACATCACAACACAAGCCCACAGGTCGGTTATTTACAAGCCTGGCCCTAGCATGAGAGAGTGCCCTGGCACGCCACGGACAATAAAGGGTTCACAAACTCTTGAATATTCACAGAGAAAGGTAAGGCGGAGGGAGGTATCTGAGCTGACTTTCTGAGTCAGAAGATTACAGTCCGTGGAGCTCCGATGTGGGGCTGAACAGAATTGTAGCATACTGCTACAAGGAGAATCAACACAAGTCTCCCTCATTAAGAACAAAAAAAACAAACCACCTCATTGTTAAACTATTCCAGTGTTTCCTTAATTTATAATTCGGACAGCTTCCAGCCATGAACATCAGCCTTCATTGTGCTTAAGCAAGTTCATTTTTACATGAATCAGTGTTATAAATTCCTTCACGTGCATGTACACGTGTTAGCAGTTAGCGCGATTCAAAGGCTAACGAGCTACCATGCTAACGCCCCATCAGATTCTTTTGAAGCGCATCATCTCCCTGTTTTACTGGGTCTGTATTAAGGTTTGTTCCTGGACCCTTATAGAGCCCCTGGCTCTGGCACGTGTGTGGCGTGTGACATGGACGGCCACGCTGCTGCTGGGAGGGCCGTCGGCTTCCAGCGGCCTCTCAGGCGGCTGTCAGACAGGGCGCGAGCGTGTACCCAGAGCCTGCTCTGCTGCGTGCCGCTGCCTCGTTAGCCAAGGCACTGCCACCGCGTTCTCATTAGCAGCGAGGGCCTCTACTTCGCGGTGGAGGCGACACCCAGTCGTGCCGCGCGGCGCCCCAGACAGCAGCGGCAGCCGATCTCCTGCTAATGAGGGCGTCGCTGCCGCGGCCCAACAAGGGCGGCTGACACGATGACGCGTCAACGCGGTGATGAAAGATCAACGGTCCTGACCGTGTGGCTGCACGCAAGCGGCGGGTGCATTAATGGGCCATCCGTCGAGCCTGGATGCCGCTATCGCTCCTGTGCACCTGGACAAATTCTTCTGACAGAACAGAGCACAGCCCCAGTATGTGAGACACCAAAGGCCTGTCTGGAAAGACACATAACGCTCGCTGAATAAAGTAAAGCCAGCAGCAACTACAGACAATCATGAAAGTAACACAAGCCAATTGCTTTTCTGTGTTGTTATATTTTCCAAAGAAGTGCACATGTAAAAGTCCTAATTTCTGTTAGCTTTTTTTCTGGGGGGGCACCACTTAAAAACAAACAGGGCTATACGGAACCACAGCATTCCGTTTCCGCAAAGGAACTTCAGATCACTTGTCTCCACACAGCACAGTGAACAGGCCCTTGAGAGTCGAATCCCAAAATAACCGCTTCCAAACGACACCCACACATACATACCACAGTTTGTACTGCCGTTAGTATGGCTCTGAGCTGAAACGAAATCGAATTCTGTATGGTACTCCACAGAATGGTAGAACCACTCATAACAACGTGAAACACAGATCAGGCTTCGATGCAGCATAGGAGCTCACCAAAGGCCATTTTGGGAAAGATTCATTTTGTAATGTGGGTACTATTAAATGAAGAATAAATATAGAATGAATATATTCAATTATTTCCAAATTGTGGCTATAGGGCCCCCTACAACTTTTTCCATATACCTCCTATAGCTTCTTTTGACAGCATTTAAATAAGTACTGCAGAAGCGGAGAGCAGTGCAGTTGCTTTGCGTGTGTTCGTGTGTGACACAGGAAAACAGGGCGCATTGTAAATGCAGCTCAGCTCCTTCAGGTTTTCTCCAGTGCTGCACCAACCTGGCACACCGTGCGGTACTGCCAAGCCAACCGCTGTCTTTACATACTACATGTCACGCGGTGCCACACAGGGGGGCTGTCACTGATTGGAGGGGCAACATCTCATTCCCTGCTGTCTATCGCCAACCTAGGAACACCTGACAGGTTCCTTTCAGATATATGTGCATTGGTTAGTTGAGACACTGTGGCCAACTAAATCTTTTCCTGCAAAAGCCCCCCTCTGACCTGAAGCCCCCTGCCACCAAGGCAGAACAATACCAATTATGACAGAGCTCAGAAATGAAACTTTTTTTTAACAGAATATTCCTTACTTAAGAGTCACGTGCAGAGAGCCAAATGGATTTCAGCAGTGGGTTTAGAACAAAAGACTCCTCCACCTGGTAAATGTAAAATTGAGGGCTCACTGAGGAGTTTAAAGCTTGTCGTTCCACTCCTGCAGCTCAAATGCACTCTCAGCTATGCCGTTTGTGTCTACTCTCTCCCTTTAACAAAGCAAAGGAAACTGATGGTAGTAAAGACCTCCCAGCAGGGAAGCTCCTCTTAGCTTGGAAATGCAAACCAACCATTTAAAAAGGCACAAAATTGCATATTTAAAGTAATTAGAGCCACATTTAATTCATATGGGTAGGAGTTGGTGTTCTCAGTAAGCCATTGGCCTTAAACTGTAGAGTTACACTGCCCTCTAATTAAAGGGATCTTTTACATCTTTCAGAGAAAATACAGATGTATGCTTCGATAGGTACCTTGTAAGACTTAAGAAATTTTTATTTTCTTAAAACTGAGTCGTTCTTCCCCCACACCATCATATGGGCTATTGTCACAAAAATATAAACAGATACAAAAAACAGTCTCTTAAATGTATTCTATGGTTGAAGAAGCCGATTGTGTCTCAACAGGTCTCTTACAGTGCCACTGAACAAAAGCACACCTCCAGTCCCATGTTTAATGCAAGCGTGCGCCAAAAACGGGCCTCGCTGATTGTGAACAGGGCACAGTCATAGGTAAGCCACTCCTCAGTGGATGAAAATCACACAAAAAGGCAGAATCAGCTTGAGTGCACCATCTGTGGAGAAGGGCAAGTTATGGTCCAAGGCACAAACCCGAAGCACATAGATGTGGCAGACGAACAGAAGTCTCAGTGTACAAGTTAGGCTCAGCATCATCAGAAATAAATAGAAACTGCGCCCACACCAAAATGCCACAAACACTATAGAACAAAAAATGTTATATATGCAGAAAAATCACCATTTGTCCTACTGTAGGATAACATGCATAGGGACTGTCCCTTTATCTAGACTTATAAAAACAGCTCCTAAATGCTTTGCTTTACTCTAATTCCAGATACAACAATGTGCCTTTAACCTGGAAATGCTACAAAGGGAGATGCATTAGCCTTAGTAAGGAGTCTCCTTACAGAGACATCAGACAGGTGTAACACCCAGGCTTGCTAATGTTAATCCCCAGCACTTCAGCCCTGGATACTGAAGATACAACCCGCAGAGGGATACTCAGGAAGCAGAATGTCCCCATCCGGTAGGAAGCACAGCGGCACGGGAACTGCGCTTCACAGTGGCCAACTGCAGTCTTATTACGATGCCCCAGTGTTCAAGCTACGTGGTCAAGGACCAGAGCACCTGGCCCTGGCCTGAAGAAAAATCCCCCATTCCCAACCCATCTGACCCTGGCTGCACCTGGGATGGTATCAAACATTCAGAAATATGAGAGGGGACAGCCAAACAATCAACCGATAAAGACTGCTAAAGACACATAGCTGATTTTGTGTTTTTCACTTCCAAAGGATTTCTTAAAAGGAAAAAATCTAAGTTGTATACCACTGATTGGGCTGCTGTTTTACTCATTTTTTGTAACTTGCCAAAAATCTTTCTTTCAGTATTATAACTGAACCACAGCTCAATGTCATACTTTATTTGAAAATATATTTCAAAATTAAGAATTACTTATCGTTCTTCTAGTGGTTCACTAGCACAGGCAGTTAGAATGCATTTTTAAACAAGAAATAAATTTCAGTATTCTACTATGTGTATAGGCCGACACACATTTATATGCATACACAATTATACATTCTTCGATAAGGGAGAAAATATTTGAAAATCTGGCTATCATAGAAAAATACAATGAAATATAGGTCCTGGAGTGTTTTAAGTCCGGCTTGTGCGCTTAAACCACGGCTCTCAGAGGCAACTAATATATTTCTCCTTTGCCACGGAGAGTAAACGCGGCGGCTAATTTAGAGAGAGGGGTTTTATAAATCCCCTATGGATGGATCCTAAATTGGTGCGGAGAGCTTTCCCTGTACAGTAGGTGAACAGAGGGAGGTGAGCCAGAAAATACACCTAGCAATTGACGATGACAGGAGAACAGAACTTTTACATTACACGACTGAGGGGTAATTACTTAAACACACGGCGCTTATTAAAAGTTTTGCATCTGTAACCGTTTTAATATGTTTCTCAATTTCGAGCAGCAAGTGCTTTAAAACCTTTTCTTGCGCCTCTATTTATTCCTCTCCACGGGACTCTCCCGGTAAATGAGACTTGGATCTTCGTCATTAGTTGCTTACATTCCCTGTGCAAATACGATCAAACTGGCACAGACTATGCCGGACAGATCTCTCTATGGTTTGAATTACCATTTCTTGTATAGTATTTGAGCCCTTAGTTGTTATGCATGCCCCGCTATAAAACAGGCCGTATGTGCATTATTTTATTTATTTTTTATAATTA